CCATTGATGGTGGAAACTATCTATCTAACAGGTAAGCCTTCTTTATGGTATTTAAACTGGCCAAAAATCCTCGGTGGAATAGCTGTGTATGTTCTTAATAAGGTAGTTTGCTGTTGTGTGATAAATTGACGTGACTTATTATGGATTAAATCTCTTGATACGGAGGTCCATCTCAATTCATTTCATCAAGACTCCATTGTGTTTTCTTCAACCATGACTACAGATGAATGTGTTGGGAATAGTTATCAGACAGGTCTTATGAACAATAATGCAAGACTTCACAAGAAATTCGTCACGCTTAAACAACAACAAAATACATTAGAAGACATTTATTATGATGAATCACTTGTCAAAAATTATTCTGGAATTGATGTACCACAAGAAATGCTTATCCTGTTGGGTTTGGGCCCAAAATTCGCTCTACCAATTGAGAATATGCCTTTGCTTGACATTGTTGCGGATATTGAAATGATTATTTCCCGGTTCGCATCGGAACATATCCATGGAAAAATCGGGATTTAGTGATGTTTGATGAAAAAATGGTTTCATTTTAGTTTGGAATTTTGCTCGGGCACTGAGTGCCTGATGGACGGTTTTAGGGTTAAATTCACTTCAGTATGTAATTTTGTATTTGTTTTTTTTTTAAACGGTTCACCTTATATGACTGAAAAATATGAGTCATTGTAGTGTGTGAGATTTATGCGGCAACTTTTTTACTCTTACCCGTGTGTGATTGGCTTGTTCCTCTTGATTCTTGAACGAGTTTGACCACGAATATATTCAAGGTTTCAATATTTTAAACATAGACTGTGTATTGGGTATGTTTAATTTTATGCACATATTTTAGTATTTGCCACATGCTTAGGCTTGATTGTAGGATTAAAGGCATAGAAAAACATCGAGAATAAAAATTGAGCTTAATGCTTAATACTAACATTGTAGCCTTTCGTGCTTCTCTCCCTCTACCGTATTTTTTTGGCTATGCCATTTATTACCCTTAACAAAAAAAATTGTAAATTAAAATTGAAACGCAGATAAATGAATGTAATGGTTTTTTTATTAATCATGTTTGATTTTCAATGTGCGTGATGTCACGATTATTATTATTGTTTTGTTTTTGCCCATGAATGCAACGACGAAAATATAGTTTAATTTTTTTCTCGAATAGGTTGATGTTTGTATATAGATATAGCCTTTTGTTGTCCAGCAGCTGGTGGATGCGTATGCGTCTAGTACGTTAACTTTGAACATAACTTGACACGTGTGCACGGCAATGTCTTTAGATGTGTATGTGACTGAAAACAAAATACATAAAACAACGCTCGCAAATAATAAATACGATTTTCAAATGAAATTAATTTCATAAAATATCAAATGTATTTTAAAGTGTTGTACACACGTAAATTGTTTTTTATTATCTATTATTATAATAGACTATTAACTTGAAACCATTTTTTTAGATTTCTGTTCCATAGATAACATATATTTCTTTTTGAAAAATTATTTTCCTTGATGAGGTTTTTCCTAAAAAATTGTATAAGAATCTGAAGACAACTTAAATTATATATTATAAGTTATAACTCGAGTTCAAATTCCCTGATTTTGATTAAAATTGGTCACTTTATAGCTCTTTATTAGACGCTCTTCCGGAAAAAAGCAAGAATACTCGATTTACTTTGTGAAGAGTAGTTCTACCCATATAAAACTCTGACGCTAAGCACATCGAAGTGGCGCTATTCGACGCTATGTAATGTGAAATAAAATACATTAGTACAAACCATAATATCAAATAGCGCTTGCCATATTTTACACGGAGATCACGAGTGTGTATGTATTTGTACACTGACTCCAGCTCTGTGCGATCGTGTGTATTATAAATTCGCTACTTAGTTTCTAATCCTAGTTACTTGTGCAAAATCCCATGATTTTGATTGAAATTACTCGTTTATACATCGATACATTAGGCAGTGCTTTCAAGTAAATTGGCAATGCATAATTCTTTAAGAATTATATAGAAAATACACCAAATGTTACTTATTCTAAATTCAATTTTCATGCTATCCAAAATCATGTGACATGTAAACACCAAAACTTAATCCACGAAATATATACACATCTACATCCCAAGTCAGTATAATACCCTTTTCGAAGAGTGTACACGCTCTTCTCACACTCTTCGTATAGTTTTATTCGACTCCCTTCTCACACTCTTCTCATACTCTTCTCACACTTTTGCATAAAACACGTTTATTGCTCAGTAGCTTCAATTTTTTTCTCTAAAAAATTTTCTTTTTTTTCCGTTATAATAAATTTTTCCACTGATGGATAGTTTTTGATTTTGTTTATTTTTGACATTTTGAAAAAAATGAACGTATACAAAAAAAATGAATTTGTAGTTCTGTTGTATTTTGACACAGCTGACGAATGCTATAAACGAAATACAAACATTACTTCCACTAGAATGCAGTGACAGCAGTGATAGCATTACCAATACCATTACACACTCTCTTCTCACTCAATATACGTGTTTTATGCAAAAGTGTGAGAAGAGAGTGAGAAGAGTGTGAGAAGGGAGTCGAATAAAACTATACGAAGAGTGTGAGAAGAGCGTGTACACTCTTCGAAAAGCGTATTATACTGACTTGGGATGTATGTATAAATTTGTTTGTGCATTACATCAAAGCTCATTTCACAACAGATAATTTTCCTTAAAATATATCGATCCTCCTCTCTTTTATTCGTTTTATTTTTACAACCACGCGTGTTCTGCAGCGTACATATGTATTGAATATATCGATAGGAGAGTATGTTTTTATTCAGTCATATGTTTAATAACATACTCTTCTATCGATATATTCAATAGATGTAATTCTTCACTTTAACGACATTGTTGTTTTATTTAGAACTTTTTTTTAGTACATTACTTGAATTAAAAGTAATCTGTAATATTGCTCTCTTTAAACTATATTTTATATTAGTAAAGGAGTAGTTGAAACTGTTTTTTTTCCAAGCCAGGTGGTATCATAAACTTGAAAATAAAGTTTTATAAAAAAATGAATGAATTTTATGAAAACCATGAAATCTCACAGACACGTTCAATTTCCAATCGAATTTCACAACATGCATTTATCTCATTGTAAATCCTGAACTCGAAAGTATACGCACATGCGGAAGCATCTATTATTCCATAGGGAAAATGTGTAAATCAAATTCAGTAGAACAACAAAACCAACAACAATTATATTTACAGAACAATTTTTTAGTCTTTTACAAATATTTAAAACCATTTATTCAGAACAAATGGTTAAATACCTTTCTTATTCTACTTATGTACCATGTATTTTTTTAATTTATTAATTTTACAAACATATTTTTTGACCTGCAATATAGCTACAGATATATAATATTATTTACTTCGTGCTACGATGCTTCAATTTTCTCGCTGAAAATTCCCAAATGTGAAAAATTGCAAAACTATATCAAAATATACATGCATGACGAATTCAGACATCCTCTAGAGAGCAACGTGCAACACACGACGATTTTACAAAATGAATAAACATTTGAAATAGGGTGTCCCAATATGTAATCAAAGTGTGTCCAAATTCAAATACGTCCTATAACTCTTCTCTTCCGTACACTATGTCAAACAAAAAATGTAACCGAGTCATTTTTAATTAGTACCACCGCCAGGAAAATTCCTCACTCTGTGTTTTGAGTTGTGTGTGTATGTGTGTAAGTCATTCATAAATTAAATTAAACTTGCAAAACGTTAAGTACAAGCAGCCGCTTCTGCCATATACCATGAAAATGAATATGCAGACAAACCCTGTATAATTTGGTATTCATAGTACAGCGAGAAATACATATAGAAACAGAAACGGTAATGGCACTGGCGTGACAGCAAAACGTGTACAAAGATTGAAACTCTGTATCAACTAAACATTGAAAATGGTGGAAAATCAGAAGCAAACCGTTATTGCTATTTAATGGTCAACGTGTTAGCATAGCGAGAGATATTACCCAAAACAAAAAAAACCACATCTAAAATATATAATGTATGCGAAATTATCATTTCATTGGCTATATAAGAGTGTCTACCATTTGTATATGTATGCGTTCATGGGATATTTACGAAATTAGAAATTTTGAAACAGAAATAAAATCAAATGAATAATATGAATGAAAAATATCACTTGTGAAGCAAAATTCTCATTTATTTATTTACGAACTGTATTTAAACGCACACTGCGAGTGAACGAGTTATCTTAATTTTTCCCAATTTTTCCTCTATTCCGTTATTTCGGATGAAAGCTTTTATGCAATGAAGAAAAAGAAATGGGGCCATTACAAAACAAATCACAAGTAAAAAAAATTGCAACTCTTTCACCTGAAAAAGTGGTTAACAATACAAAGAATATTTTCACGTGCGTTTGTCCCAACTTCATGATTACTCGCTCTAATCCGAAACATTAGCGAAACAAAAAGATGGAAAGAAGGGTTTTGCTGTTGGATTATTGCTAACTCGATTTTGGTAGTTACACCTTTCTCTATGGGTGACTCATATATGCATAACTATAATGATATAATAGGTATTTAAATTGGTTCAAGTTCTGAGGATAGTAACTCTGTGCGTTTTGTTATATTTAAGATATTATTCGTTTATGGAAATCATATGCAGAGAAAAAAAATCAGTTTATACACGAATTATGTATTTTATTGATAAACAAAAAAATGAGAGATTTTGTTTGACAACATAAGTCGCTTACTATATCATGCTACCCAATGAACAATTTGTAATACAAATTCCCCCATTACCAAGCACAAATTCACGGTAAAATTTGGACCCGAATTTGTGTGTAGTTTCAGTTATTTTTACGGTTGCCATAGCGTAACATTCAGGTGTGAATACATGGAAAAGAGAAACGACAATCATTAGTATCAATTGAATTGTATATGAAATATCATTTTTTTTAAATTAAAAACTTTACTCACCTACGGGCTCCTTCCCTCCGTACTACCGTTGTACTGTTCTTATGAACGCACAACAAGGCCACAAGATTTGTGTAACACAAATGGTGTCAAGCCTAGCTAAGCTAACTAATCGTTATAATATTTGTTTTATTTGATAATTTATGAATTCAATGCTGCTGCTTGTCAGTTGACATTGTTTGGTGATCTTCTCAACGAATCAGGCACTAGTACGCCAAACATCCGACAAAGTCCTGTGTAATTAGAAGCAAAAACATTAAACAATGAATAGACTCTATTTTCAATTGATTCATACCTTTGAGCATAATACATTTTGCAGCAACAATATCGCGGTGCCAAACAACTGTCTGTGGAGCAGCAACATCACCCTGAACATTTAATGGCCAATTTTTGTAGGTAACATTAACCTTTGACATTAAACGCCCATTTCGAAGTATTCTCGCCACATCCTGATAATTGCCATTGCGAATTCGACGCTTAATTTCCTTTCGTCCCTTTTGCAAAGCACGTTTGCTAACCGTTGCCACAATTATATCTGGTAGACTAGCGACTGAGTCCGGTAGTCCAGCAATCGGTTTCGCTTTGCAACCGTAGCACACTTTGAATCGATGAGGTTTTGTGTTCGCTGGAAATCGTTCTTGGCAATTCGCGCATGTTTGTGATGTTCCCCATTCATCTTCCATTTTCACCACTGAATGGCCAAGTTTCTTGACGCTCACCAAAAATTTCCGAGATCCTGGACATCTTTTCCGTCTCTTCAAACCAAATGGCCGATTGGGTGGCATCTCCGATGCACCAAATACAATTATTGATGGCTCGTTGTTGTACACTGTCACGGCGATGTTATCATTTACTTGGTTCGACTTCATGTAATAATCAAAACCCAGTCGTGAATATTTGCGCGTAGCATATGCTGACATTCCTTTTCGTAGCATTTTGATGCGATACTCAATGTACCATTTCCATGTTGAATTACGCGGTGATGGTGGACCGAATAGGTATGTCTTCAGATGATTCTTTTCTTCGATATCAAACCATCCAGCCAATTTTTTTGCTTCTTTTTCTCTTTGTTTCTGCCGAGTTTCCCAGTAGAATCGCGTGTTTGGTATTGTGATGTTTTCCTTCGAAATCATAAAAACTAATTAGTTTCGATTAAAACACATTTCAAGTTAGATTTCAAAATATCTCACCTCAACGGCCGGTTCATCAGGTGTTTTTCGGATGTTGCGACGCGTTATAGCCAACCACGTTTTTTCATTCGGATCGATGCCAATAACGTATTTCTTGCCCACAAGATTGTCCGCCTGTAAATGCACATTTTCGTTGCACGCCTGCTCTAGTTTGGTGACCAGTGCCGATAAGGAAACACTATTGGTCACGATTTGATGATGGAATTGTTTGGATCGTTTGCCCAATTGCTTGATTTTATCGACGTCGAACAACAAATTCCATAGTCCATCTCGATCATGATCTCTGTAGTATTATTCGGGGTATTTATTCAGCCGGTTGGTGTTAAAACATCACAACGAGACAACTGGATTTGATAGCTTAGAACGGTGATCTGGAGATCTGATCGAATATCGAGTCGCGGCCCGGAACCGAATTGGCATCGAATCGTATAAATAAGTCAATATATTTCAGTTGTAAGTTGGCCAACAAGTAAAAGCAATTAACATAAGAATAAATTCATATTATTAAATTAATGCATTACATTTTGACATTACATTTATAAATAGTGAAATCGTAAGAAAATTTTGATAAATACTTTAAATCATAACAGTTAGATGGCAGCACTTCTGCAGTCTCTTATGTTCTGTTCGCACTCTTTGATTTACGTACTACCGAAACTTTATGATGTTAGTTTGTGACCTCCCTAAAATAAATTTACATTGCAATTGTACTATGTTATAAATCAACTCATAGATGGTGCTAGATGACGTTATTAAAGCTCTTCCACTGTGAAAAGATACAAATTTAGCCCATACGTCTTAGTCGAAGAATATTTGCTAAATAACAAAACATATTCCAGAAAATCAAACACTTGTTCTATGCCCTTGAGTTCGTTCATCAAACTTTTGGTACGTGGCATCTTATAAGGTAAAGTGAAGACTTTTAAACGTCTCGTTGTCGAAATAATATTATTGCCTCTTTACAAATTGTAGAACTGCATTTGCCTAGCTAAATTTATGTCATATTTCAAAAAAGTGTCAATATCTTTTTCCTATAAGAATTACTTGAACGTGAATAAATGACATTTATTTTGACTTTGTGGCCTTCTTTTTTTCTGTATAAAGAACAACATTAGGATTCGTGTCAAACATTAGATACCGCTCGATTGTGGAATATTTTACACATATTTGCTTACCATTTACTATAAAAAATCTGCTACATTTATTTTTTCTGTGTGTGTGTGTGTGTTTTTTTTTTTCGCTTTTTTGCCTGGATGTGGAATCTTCCAAAGATACCAATGGTGATATGACCGATTAGCATGCACGATTCGCCGACTGGGAAAGCGCCTACGTACTAAACCACACCCTTGCACACTCTTCTACCACTCTCCCCGCGGAACTGCCGTTAGGTATTACATCGCAGGGCTGGTTAGCATTTTTCGGTTAGTTCGCTATGCGGAGCTCCTTTTGTACATTTGTGACAAAATTGAGGGTGTTCTGCCACCCTTCTTCCGTTTCGATCATATAACTTACTAGTAGACTCACCCCTGGGGGGATGTGTATTCTCGACTCTGCGAAACGAATGCAGTGAAAAATTGCATGTTCGGCGTCTTCTTCTTGTTCTGAGCAAGTTGGACATGCCGCAGAATTTTCCTGTTTAAACTTGTGGAGGTATTTTCGATACCCCCCATGACCAGAAAGGAACTGAGTGAGTTGGTAACTACAGTCCCCTTGTTTTCGATTCACCAATGTCTCAATGGCCGGTATAAGATTGTAGGTCCATCGGCCTTTTGTTGTGGTCTCCCATCGAGTCTGCCATTTGGCCATCGATGTTGTTCTTTCTTCTTTTTTAATGCGTTTATACTCGCTTTTGTCTGTGGTTCTTCTGTTGTAGATTCTCCACATTTCGTTCGCCAGTATATCCACTGGCATCATCCCGGCTATAACTAATTATTTATTATTATTATTATTTATTTCATTGCCAAATGCTGGCTGAACTTAGGTGTTTTAACAATTTTAGGATTTCACAATCAGAGCAATAAGTTAAATATGAGTAATTAATTTAAGTTTTGATTTAAATAGTCAAGTATTGAATAAATAGTTTCGAATTAAATAAGATAGGTAGGTGAATAAATAAGTAGTATATAGGATTTCTCAATATAACGGATAGTAGATTCCATTTAATATCATTGTCAGGCACCCTCATCATCGTCAGTAAGTGGCCCCTCATAAATTCACAGCATCTCATAATTTTAGTCCACGGATCAGGCCCAGATCTCCATATTATCCTCGATCGATCAACTGAAAATCACAACATTCCATAAGCTTTTTGACATAAATGAATAAAGAAATGACAACCTGGGGTTGCGCTTTCGTTTTTTATTGTAATTGTCCGATAAAAAGAAAGCACAAACAAAAATTCTCCCTTTCCGTCACAGAATGGCCCATGGTCCAAATACTTCGTCTGGTAGTTGTAACAACTTTTGACGAAATTGAAAATGCGATAGATGGGTCAATAAACAAAGTTGCATAATTGAACGCCCGGCATGCATTATTGAATGGTGACATAGTCGTGTGGTCAGTAGAATATGTCTTTAGTCGGATAAATTCAGGATTCCTTAATGTTCTTTGTTCATTATTCAAATTTATTTGCGACAATAGATGAGGCGATTTAAATTTGCCAGTAATGATGGAATGAATAAACAATACCGAAGCGTTCACTCTACGGCGAATAAGCGTGGATAATTCAAAATTCGTGCAACGTTCGGTGTATGGTCGAAGAATATAGTCCCCGTTCATTTGACGAAGAAAATCACCGTTCAACAGCATAATTATTTGTTTCTGTGAGCTTTCTACTTGTCTTTTTTGTGTAGTATGATATAGTGACCAAATAGTGCCAAGATTTGAACGAACCAGCGCCATATATAAAATTCGTATTATGTCTTTGTCGAAATAGAAAGATTGTCGCTTTACAAATTGCAATGCTGCGTTCGCCTTATTACAAATAAATTCAATATGCGATTAAAAGCTTAGTTTTCTGTCGAGGATCACACCAAGATCGCGGATTTCATCCACACGTTCAATTATTTTGTCACGAATTGTATATTTATTCACTATGGGCGATCGTTTTGTATACAATGAAAACAGCTTACATTTGTTGTGATTAATTTTTAAGTCGTTATTGCATGGGGTCAATCACGAAATTCTAGTGCATCTAGTTTTTGATAAGATTTCACTAGAAAACTAGAAAATTCTAGTGCGTGAAGTTGGCTCTCAGCAGTTTTTCATATAAATTATATGGCCTTTGATGTGAAGTTAGCTTCGTTTGTGACGTCATTCTTCGCACTAGATTTACTAGTTTTTCTAGTATTCACTAGCGTGATTCACCCCATGCGTTATTGTCACACCAGTCCAAAAACATATTGATTGCTAACTGTAGTTTTTCCGAATCTCTATGATCTCTAATTTCCAATGCTAACTTCTTGTCATCGGCAAAATTTGAATTGTGAACGCCAGGCAGATTAATATTAGAATCGTCAAAGAAAATGATGAATAATAATGGACCCAGAATAGTGCCCTGGCCAACCCCCGATAAAACATCAATGAGATCAGATTTACAGGGTGGGCCAGAATAACTGCAATTTTTATATGTGCTCAGAAAAAGTATTGTTTTTTACTAAAATTGAATGAAAACTTTATTGGGATTTAGAATAGGGTCCAAAATTTTAAATTCATGTTTTGGTTTTGATTCTTCCTCCGTTTGCACGGATCACCAAACGCAAACGTCGTAAAAACGATTTACACGCGGACCGCACCATTTCGATGGGAATATCGTTCCAAATCTTGACGATTTTCTTTTTAAATGCATCCAATTTTGTGGTTTTCGTAATCTTCAGATCATTTAACTTTGATTGCATGTAGCCCCACACAAAATAATCCAATGGATTCAAGTCTGGAGACGATGGCGGCCATTCGTCTTTATCAATAAAATCAGGCACATTTTCCTTTAACCACTGTTGCACTCTGTTTGCTCGATGTGACGGTGCCCCATCTTGTTGAAACACCCATGGTTCATTACCAAACACTTTTTTGGCGTGTGGCAACAATTTTTTGCGCAATATTTCTTCTTCATACACAGCTGCATTGATTTTAACGCCACTTTCAACGAAAACAAGGGGAAATTTGTGGTCGGCCGAAACGGCGCCCCAAACCATGACACTTGACACATTTTGATATCGTTCAACGACTAAATCATCTTCAGGAATGTCCTCAATTGTCGCTGCGTAAACACGATCATTTTGCGCATTGAGACTTGGCTGCAAAAGGAACAACTTCTCGTCGGAGAAAACGATGTTTGAGGTTGCGGCCCGGCTTAGCAGATCTTTGCATTTTCGCTTTCTATCTTGCTTATTTTTTTTTGTCAAACCATGTTTTCGGGTTTTTTTGAATGGTTTCATTCCCAAATCTTCTCTCAACACTCGTCGCATTGAAGATCGACTGATATTGTGCTCACGAGCTAATATTCTGGCGCTTCTTTTGTTATTTCGAAGAATTTTCTTTCGTACCTTTTGGACCAGACCTTTTGTTCGTACAGATCTTTTTCTGCCCGTTTTTCGCT